GAAGGGAAGGGAAGGGAAGGGAAGGGAAGGGAAGGGAAGGGAAGGGAAGGGAAGGAAGCCTACACCACCACCAAAATGATGTTGTTTTTTTTTTTTTGTTTTGTTTTCTTTTTAAAGTGATGGTTTTTGGTTTGCTTGTTGATTGATTTGTTTTCCTTAGCTGCTCATGTCGCTAGATTCTCCGCATTTATGCTGGACATCCGAATCTGAGAGCTGCTCTTGCTCAGAATGGAGAGTTGTGTCCCCCCGTTCACTCCGCTGCTCGCTAGAGAAGGATGACGATGTTTGAAATCCACAGCAAAATACCGGTTGACTTTCCAGCTCCTCCATTTTCTCTTTATTTCTGATTGCACCTTTAGGGAGAAACTTCAAAAGGTCATTTTTTATGTACTTAGCCGCTCGAGGACATGCTGACAAGTTATCAAGTTCAGAAAAAAAAAAGAAAAAAAAAGAGCAATTTTGAAGGCTATTATTAAACTCCTTACTTCAGAGAAACCTACAGCGATTTCTGCATGTCTGAAAGAGTGCCAGGCATGATGTGGGGAAAGCACCCTGGGTTCTGAGTTTCTGACTTCAGATAACTTGGGATCAGCCCATAGGTGCTTAGAAGATGTGCTTGGTACTAACCCAAACATGATTTTTGAGTTAGCTTTGTGAAAAAAATTCTCATTTTCATCAGTGGCCAGCGGCGAGCACATAACAAAGAGCCAAAGATGATGGATAGTAATCAAATAATCTGTCCAGAAAGGTCTCTCACCTGCAGTTAATGGATGCATGTCTACTGAAAACTTTGCCTGCTGTTTTCAGCTCAACTCTAAGTAGATAACAGCTCTTGGGTCCGTGTACATCTATGAAATACTCCTTTCCCTGGAGTTTTTTTTAATGTGCACCATAAATCATGCACAGTAATTTGTGTTCAGATGTCCAGATAAAAAATTAATAAAAGTAAGAACAAAAATCAATAAACAGATTGATAATTTTTCTGCTTTTCAGTTATCATTGATTTCCTGCTGATCTTTGTAGGTGAACACATGTACATAAGTACAGAAGACAATAAGGACTTAACATAAGAAAGACTGTACTGGCTTGGGCCAACATTTACTCACTTGGTAACTCATTTCCAACAGTATCCTGTAGCATATTTAAGAAGGAAATAACGTAAGAACTGACAAATGTGGAGATATCCTCCTAACATTTTTTTCCAGCCTTCAATGAGCTTGTGTATCAAAACTTCTTTTTCCCTTTAGCAGAAATTGCTAGACTTTTGCAGACTAATACAGTTGTTATAATGAATCAGCACATTCCAATGTGCTGTACAACTGCTTTAACAGTATGGGCACTAACTGCAAGGAGGAAAAATCCAACTGGAAAACTTATATTCTCTTTCTAGTACTTTTAATTTTCTTTTTTTTTTCTTTTTTTTTTTTTTTTTTGTTTGTAGTTATTGTATATATAGGAATAGATTAGATAGATTATGGAAGTATCTATCTGGGTTAGTTTGGTTAAGTACCACTTCTCCAAACCAAACCAAAACAACAAAAAAGAATAAACCACAGAGGTTAAAAGAACATCGACGCACCATGCAGAATCTTTGAAATGTTCTTATCTCAAGATTAGTTTAAGACCAGACCTTCTGGGTATTCTTTGAGCGTTCATGAGAGATAATACACGAAACAACAGGTTTAGGCAGAAGAGACAGATATCCAGTACTGCCAGCTGATGGAATATGAATGCAGCCACCAGAGGAACTGTAGGAACATGTGATTCAGAGCACACTTTCTGAGCTACATGGAGCCACGAACAGTGCACATCTACAAGTCCTTTCGTGGTCTTCCTGACTATGCCCATGAGCAAAGATAAACTATACATATGTTTGCTGAACTCGAGAAGATTGTTGTTTTCATCTAAGAAGGAATCTCTTGGATAAAGAAGTTAGAATCCCACTGAGCTAGAGACCACTTATTACACACTGTATCAGAATAAATATGGAATATCTACTGCAATGAATTTGGTAGAATAAATGATCCCAGTCCTCCTAAACAGAAAAACAGAAGGTGGTTTTGTTCCTGCTGGACTGCACAATAAATCTGAATCCGTGAAACAAAGATTGGATGAACAGTACGTATTCCCTTTTAGGCAGAATTGAGTAGGAAGTCTATTTCCACTAATGGAGAAAAGATTCGCCTCATTCATTTAGTTCAATAAACAAAGTCAGGATAATTTCAATTTGCAAATCAGAACAGGTGAATCAGAAATTAGGTCTAATTAGAACTGGCACAAATATACACAAATACATGCACACAAACACGGATTCAACAAGAAACAGTTTCAGGCTTTCAGAAATGCAAAGATGAAGAACTCTTCACAAGCATACTTTAAACTGTAGTTCAATATAGTATGTAATATTGTCCTAAACTTAACTCTTTGGCCCTATAGGAAGATAAAGACATAGTGTTGGCCTGTTATATGCAAAAAAAAAAAAAAAAAGAAAGGTTTTCATATCTCCACTCATCATGGCAGATTCTTCTTAAGTTTTTCAGAGTACAGCTTGCAAACACCATGAGGAGGGAATATGTAATGTGAGAAGCCATGACAAGCAGCACTCCCAGTTATCCTCTACAGCTGTAGTGCTTTATAGTACTACAGACTGAAAACAGACAATATCAGCTAGTGGAACTCCACAGAATGAAGGCAAGATAGAGTGTCTGGGGGTTGATTTATCTTTTTTCTTTTTCTTTTTTTTTAATTTAGATGGTCAGATGTTAGAAGTTTAAGCAAGGAACTAGTCAATTTATAGATAAACACACATCCCTGGAAGACTATTAGTTTAATCTGATTTAAATGCCACTATGGAACGAGACAGAGAGTCTTCTAGAAGTTGTTTTTTCTCTATGTAGATTACAAAGAGAGCACACAGCTGTTACCCCAAAGTTACTTGTTGAATACTTCTACACTTAAGCGCTCCTGAATGCCATTCTAGAACTTTAAGGTTTCCTAAGCCTTCATCACTACTTCATTACTAAAAATAATAGTGATCTCATTTTCTAAATAGCACCAAGCCTGATGGAGTTCAAGAAGTGTTTGGACAATACTCTCAAACATATGGTTTATTTTTCATGTAGTTCTGTGGGGAGCCACACAATGGACTGGATGATCCTTGTGTGTCCCTTCCAAGACAGGATATTCTATGATTATATAAGAAGTATCTCTTGTGAATAGCAGAACAAGGAAAAACAGCATTAGACTTTTGGTTTCAGGGACAAATACTTCCTTTCAGTACGGGCAAACTGATCACTTCGTGAAGCTGGTCAATAAAGAAAGACTGTATACAAAAACTACATTAACCTTCACTTGTAGATGTGATAAAAGAGTTTGTCAGGTGACACTAAGTGCTCAATCTTCATTTTTTTTTTGTGAGAAGAGGTCTAAGTGGATTATTAGCATGGTCAGATTGGCCAGGATTAATTTCTCTTAGCATTAACCATTTAAGTAAGATGACTAAGTTAGGAACCTCCTCATTTATGGATATTTGTGTAGTTAAACAGAAGACACAAGCATCTGCAGAGAGAGTCAGCGCAGCTAAGATCTGAGTTTCTCTTTGAAGGCGTTTCTGTTGACTGCAGGACTCCTGGGAAACAAGTCACTTAACAAAATAATTGCCTCCATTAGGAAGCATTAATCTGAGCCTGGCAAGGCCAATGCTTTGGTTTGATAAAGACATCATGCATCCTCCTTCTTTTGCCGAGGCACTGTGAAATTCATACTAAGATATGAAAGAATATGTAGATGGTGATTTACAAGAAAGGATTAGAACAACAGTTAGTCCCACAAGGAAATGGGATGGGGATGGAAATAGAGATGGTGGGATGACGGAGGTTAAATATTAAAAGTCTTACCTCCCCGTTCAAGAAACAATAGAGAACAGCAACAACAAAACCCTAGGTAAATGGGAGAGAAAAGAAAAACTAATTCAAACCCTTCAGGAAATACTGGATAACAGCTGGAGTTCAATAAACAAACAAAACGAAGCATACATATAAGTGAATAAACAGGCAGTCTGAGAACTATGCATCCAAAGCCAGAGTAATGAACAGACAGATCTTTTTTAACAAAAGCAGAATTCACTGTATAATCACCTGGAAAGATCCCAGTCCCAATTCAAACACTAGTCTCTCCCGCTTACTGACATTTTCCGGAGAAAAAGCAAACACCGTGTAGTGAATTCCAAACAAGGGGATAAGCAGTAGTGTAGAGCGAGCCAATCTCCTGTTACAATAGAGTGAAAGAACTTTAATGCAGCCTTGTAACGAACAGCTTGAGCTTTAATTAAAGCAGAAAACACAGAAACTATTTCATCGCTTCCCTTTCGGGAAATAAATACGCCATATAATTACACAAACAAATATTCAGCATTCCCATTTGTTCCCTAATAGTGATTTCACACACACTGTAGTTTGTTCCCACTTCCTCGTACTGGTACAATTACAGTAAATTAGTAATGTGTTATACTCTGTACTGTTATTTTGATTTGTATTATTGTAAGCAGGGATTTCTTTCTTCATGAAGAAATTAATCTTGGTACAGGATTCAAACTACTACCACAAAACAATAATAAACCACTCACGAAATTGCATAATTCCATTGGAGGGTTTGTCTGGGGGAAAAATAGTATTGATTTTCTTCAAGGTAGTTAAGGAGCTTTATGGAGGACAAGGAAATCTAAGAAGCCAGAAAGACCCTCAGAAGTGCTCCACACTATTTTCAAATTCAAATATTCCATTTGCTTACATGCACGGAGTATACTGCTGACTGATTTTAATTGGAACATTACATGCTTTAAAATATCCTAAAAATCATGCACTTTTCTTATGAAGAGAATATCTCCAAGAATTCTGATAACGTCTCCTGTTATACCCAATACTAGAAATGGGACATCAGTTCATTGCCAGTGTCCCTCAGTCATATTTTGGGCACTGATGACAAAAAGCGTATTGCAGACCTTGCACCAAGATGGCACTAAACACTAATGATGCCTCAGTCAGATGCAGACCAAATGTCAAGTCTGGGTGAAAGACCCCATAAACAGGAGAGCACAGTTCTCACACATTATCACATTAGATGTTGGCCAAAAGCTTTTTAACAAGAGAAAAAAGAAAGCATTGAAGTGAGTTGACATACAGAGTCTCCATCTTTGTTGCCCTCTGAAATACGTTACACAGGAGTAAACCAGAGCAACAGGCTGAAAAACCTTTCAAGGTCTCTTCCAGACCTCACACTCCATGAACGTGCAATCAGATTAATGAAAAGGAATGCTAACACTGTGAAAAAGATTATAGAATGCCATCTCCATAAAGAATGTAAAGAATATAACAGCATCTTAAAGTAGTAATGGAACACAAAGAAATAGAATGGAGGTAGTAAACTGAATAAATAAGCATTCTTTTTCAAAGTCTATTACACTTTCAGTTCAGAATTAATTACAACAATAAAAGGATAAATGATGCTTCGATTCAAACATCACAACATTATTGTGAGTTAGTAAGGCTTATCTCTCTGCAGCCATAGGGGGCTCATTTTGGGAAAGATGCAGAGGAAAGCTCTTTCCATAGTCAGTTTTATGGCATTAATTCTATCAGATTAGTCACAGAATTAGTTTGTAGGATCTTGAAATACAATGTCATCATCAACTTGTTTCCGATGTTGTCTTCAACAGCATCACAGAAGTCATGAAGAAAATACATAAAATGTAAGAAGTAGCACAACCTGAAATTTGCAGATGATTAAGATCCATCATTCTGTGATTCTGTGGTTCATCAAAAGGAAAAGAAGACTTTAATAACAAGAAAAAACTGAGATGTTACTGGAGGCTGTGCTGCTGCTGCTGCTGAACTGTGTTTTTCTAAGAGCATTAGAAAGAAAACAGAATTAAAGCAACCGCTGTGAGATGAGTAAATTTACAAACAATGGTGAAATGAGGATGTTAAAGATACAACAAAATTCTCAGGAGTGCAACAGGAGGATGGGATCCTCCTGATTGGCATCCTCTTCCTGTATTCTTTCAGACAAGGAAGGAGCCTGGGGGATAGACCCGAAAGTGAGGACAATAATCATTTATCGGGGTTTAAAGGGAAACGTTTGGAAGAGTTGTGTTCTCCAGAGGTGTGGAAAAAGCTTTGTTTACACTCCAGTAGGCTGAGGAATGTTTCATAGTTACTTATTAAAGAAAATAATAATTAAAAAAAAAGGTATATTGCAATTTTTGTTGAGGTAGGCGCTCTATTTTTTCATCCATCCTAAAGAGCATCTTACGAATTAGACTCTCTCCAATAGTATGAAAAGTACATTCCAATAGAACATTAGTCCAGAAAGTCACAGGCAATGGTACAAAAAGGTATCTTTATAGTAAAAGAAAGAGAAAATAGAAAGGTCATCTAACTTTGACCTGTCTCTGGAGGACCCATGCATTTAGTCTGCCATTACAAGTCCACACTTTTTCAGGGGACTGCGGAAGAGTCTATGGATGTTACATAGGACACAACTAGGAATGAACTGGAAATTGCAAGTGAGAACTCATTTCATATTGGATTGTAGACTAGAATTGCCAGTGATTTCTACTAAGTGTTGTAGATTGTTCCTACTCCACATTTTAAAGCCCTATTTTAGAAGACTTAGTTATGATGTTATGATCTAAATGAATGTAGTAATTACTGTTACTGAGATCCATATGAATGCAGTAACTATGCCTCAGATGAACAAAACAAATACTTTGAGACACTGCACAATAGGAAACAGGCACCAATGAGTCTGAATAGCTTCTTCCAGCTTCTATGAATGTGACACAACAAATGTATATCTCAAATTCACAGCTGTAGATACAACTGTAAGAAAATCTGGTTTGGATATGTAGGATGCTATCTAGCATGAATGAAGGCAGCTATGAGAAAATACGAGTCTTCTACACCAGGGGGACCTGTAGCTCCAGAAGTGATTGTGTGAGGAGATCTGTGGTTTTAGTCTTGTTTCCATCACTGAGATGGAGAAAAGTACAGCTTAGAGCAAACTCTCCAGATATTCCCATCACACTGAATCTGTGTCTTGTGCCACTTCTACTGGGACTGGAGGCGCTTCCATTGGGCTAATTTTGAGTTCAAAACATTGAGTCAGTCACAGACTGTCAAAAGAAGTAAAATATCTTTAAAACCATAGCCTCTGAAGAAGGACTATGTACTTATGCTATTTGGGAAGTAAGAACTGTCTGGTTTAAGCGCTATGCCTTCAGTGGAATTAATTTGGCCAAACATAAGCTTTTGGAGTGGTGAAATGAAGGCTTGTGGTGGTCATGTTGTACAAGGTTTGTGACAGAAAGGTTTGGATGCACACAAAATTGATCTCTGTGTTTAAATTATTAATGTAATGTTTTTAAGGCCTATGCAGAGGAATAATGCACTTCCAAGGCATAGTTCTTGTCTGTTATAGATGTCTCTTTTAAGTATCAACTCCTGCTATAAATTCCACTGATATATATTGAATGCCTCTATTTATCAGAATATATCTATTAAAGTTATTTAATATTTTTAGGTAAATTAATTCTACACTTGCTTTCCCCTTACTGTCAGTAAAGAGGAACAGGCACCTATCTGTATGGATGAATTATCTCCCTAAGGAAGGTCTTAAAATATCCCACCCTATGCTTCTCCACTCACTACAAAGGGGATCTATACTGAGTTTGTGACATAAATTGTGATATGTTGACTTGTAATGTTTAAATTAGAAGAGGTCTATAACTTTGGTGCTAACTTGGTGATGAATACATACAAAATTTCTAGTAAGAGTGTTTCAAATAGAAAGATAAAGAACAAAACATGAAGATACAGGATGCTATTGTTTGTATTATGCTTAGGAGATCTCCTGTTTAATAAACCAGAGTATCTACTTTATCTAAAGCATGATAAGATCGGTTAAAGTGACTTTCAAGAACTTTAGGATCCTCCCTGACAGATATGTGTCCCATCTGGAAGCTTAATTACATCTACCTGACTTTTTAATATCTGAGGAAACATCTAAACATATTGATTGTGACTTAATTCTTCCATGCATAAATCACATCTTCAGCCCAAGGGCTTGAGAAGTAGTGGAGGGTTATGGAAATTTTCATTTTGGGGTATGAAAAAGATGATTTAATTGTGTTTATGAGAAGGGCAGAGAGTTTTTTATGGCCTTCTGTATAGGCTGAACTCCTCCTGCTGTTCATCAGGTAGAGAATTCCACCTCAGAGAGTTTTCAGTCCTTCTTCACATTAAGTTTGTTGCCCTGCAAAGGCCCAACATGAAGCTTAAAATTGCATCGTGATGCAGATTAAGTGATGAAATTTATACTTAAAAGTATCTCCTCCTGAATGTACCTCCTATTTTTAGCACTGCTTCTGTTAGATTCAAGCTTCTCTCCCTGAAGAAAATGCACTTGCTGACTGCTTGTCTATTAGTCCTTACTTCTTTTCTTTGCTTTCGCACACTATCAGATCGTTGACCGAATCTTTTCAGCATCTTCACTGATCGATTTCTTAACTATCCTGAGGAGGTGGAAAATCATAAACAGCAAATGCCCACTTTCATGCTTAGAATGGGCTTTGTTAGTGGCTAGACTAATAAAATTAAGCAGCTACAAGTTATCAAATATATCTTTTTCCTTAATGACGTCAGCAAATTCTGTTCTTCAGCGAAATGCTGTCCTTGTGGATCACTGCAGCAGGAGATCCCTGAGTTGCTGCTCTGCATTCATAAGCCTGCAGTAGAATTCAGGAGGACATCCATCGCAAAGCACACAATGTAAGAGATTTCTGGAAGGTACCCATCTCATCTAAATGAGTCCTGTGGGCTTCTGGTACAAGTAACAGAGAGTAAGATGCACAATGAGAAAGTGATTAATTCTTGCCTCCAAACTAATGCATTTTTTCACTTTTATGGCTGCCTTACCCTCCTTAGGCAAATCTCTGCAATGACCTCTGACTAGACACTGCATATCAAGTTAGTGTATTAAGTTAATATTCAGTTAACCATAGTTTATCTTCATTTCTGGGTGTATACTGTCAAAGCCTCACTCCATTCCACAAAAATAAGCTGTTTTCCAGGTGAGAGTCTGATTCAATCAATCCTGCTCTACCCACGTTGTCTAGAAAACTTTGGGTGAAACATTTCCTCTCAGTATGACCAGAGATCAACATTTTCCTGTATAATAAAGAGCAACTATTAATAGTTTCTATACAGGCA